ATTACTATTTAGGATCACAAAATATGAATCCTGGAAGTGGCTTAGTATTTTTTAATTTATTGTGGGGTTTGAGTTATTGCCAGGTGCTTGGACCTGTAGCACTGCGACCTACACAGATCTATTGTACTCGCCCTTTTTCACAGTTGCTACCTAGTCTATTAGGAACAATAATTGAAGGATATTCTTAGGAGCGATGGTTTTTATCTTCTCAGAATAGAGTGTAAACTTTCCAAGGGAGACATTTTGTTTATGCATGCATGGGCTTAGAATTATTATTGTTAATTATATTTTTTAATTTTCAATTACTTGTAACTAATTGTTTTAAATTATTCCCTGATTCATAAACTAGAAAGAATTTGTCGTACATCGATACGATATCGATGCTTTTGTAATATCTGTCATCCCTACTGCCAGGATGCATTACGTTCAGGATATTATGTAGTATATTGTTAAAAGAATTTGGATTATTTTTTATTAATATAATAAATAATCCTAATTTAATATCAATACTAATATTATAAGTGTACTATCCGTGTTACATCTACTTATATAGTTATGAGCTTTGCGAGGTTCCTATATATTGATTAACTTAATATATGTAGCTTATGTAACTCTGAAATAATGAGAGGAGTTTTGTACTCTTTATTACACCAATTACATATAAAAAAAATATTGTAGTGAATATACATTAACTGATACAAAAGGCGGTTTTATTCCTAAGCATTTTTTTTGGTTTTGTCTCTCATTTCAGTATTAGCATATAAATATAAGTTTATTTGTATATTAACTATTCTTCTTGATTGTAACTGAACGTGCATACATTTCCATACAATAGTTTTTGCGTGATGCATATACAAATTTACAGCCAAACATAAAAATTAATATAAGAAATTATTTTTTATTTCTATTATGTATACACTTAGACTGATACAATTTTTTTATAATATTTTATCGTACTTCGTTCAGTAGTCTATTCCACCTCCATTGATATCAGTGGTATTATGAGCCAGTCGGTTTGTTTATCATACATTTTTTCGGTGGCCGTAAAATAAGAACCCTTTATGGGCAACCCAATTACTTTTTATGTTGATACCAACCGATGGATGCCGACATTACTTTGATATTGAGATGCTTGGTATTCGCAGATGGTATAGTTAGGGATGCCAACCGTACCAGAACCTCGAACAGGTACAAGGTTTTTGATTTAGAACAAAACACACGAGTAACACTTTTTCTATGACCCCATACTAGGCTATGGCCGTATCGTGGAAGTCACACCATTTTATGTGTGTTTAAGTTTTAGCACTTTTGAATAGTCATACTTATTTCTTTTAATCTAATCCCCCTTGGAAAAGCTGTCTATGAGAGTAAGAATGAGAAAGAAACTTACGTGTTGGTGTTTTAAATAAATTTCGGTACAAGTTTACGATGTACGAACTTTTGACTGTCAAAATACGATGTTGTACGAATTTTTTTTAATTGATGAATTTGGAGTCGTCACCTACTTATGCCATGCCATGTATATGCACTGGCGGTGCACCAGTAAAGGTTGATATGATGAGCATGAAGTTAGTTAATTAATTTCCAAAAGGGACCGCCTGAAGATCGACTTATTATGATATATTTCTAGCAATAGCCCAATAGTCTGCATTATTACCAATAGTCTGCATTATTAACAATTACATCAAGCTGATATATGAAGTTAGAGAGCTAAATTGAATTGATATTTTTTACCTTTTCGTACAAGATTAAATCTCCTAAGGCTGGTAACCCTGATACACTGTTGTGTGACCATTTTTAGCTTAATGATATTGCCGCTGGTGTAAATTTTCATTGTTTCACCCACAATTCTGTGGAATTGAAAGCTAATGGTGTCATGTTATAAGCCATGTTGGTTTTATGGGGAATGATAATCGTGTCTGTTAGAATTGGAACAAAAGGTGGTATTATCTTGAATCTATTTTTGGGACAATTATAATTCTTATTTTATTGTATAAAAGGGAAAAATGTGAAGTACTTTGAGAGCTGTAAAAACAAATTAATACTTAAAAGTTATCAAATTTATATAGTAGGTACAAATCATGATGACACAGAATACGTACATTCGCCGATTCTTCAAAAATTCACGTATAGTCAGGAGAAATAAATACTTTTATACATAAAGATGAAAGACTAAAAAATATTGGATGACAGTGGTACATTGATAACAACCTCAAACTTAAATAAGAGTTCGTATCATAATATGAACTGATTTGCACTAATTGGTTGAGTGCAATGATGGCTGACTTCATCATACTCGTGAACGGCACTGTTTTGTTAGGGTTACGGTCACTGATTAATTTATTTCGTTTTGACAAATATGCAATACGCTGATTATCACTATATTCTCCCTAATGGAATTTAAAAATGAATCTGTATTTTTGTAAGCATGTACTATATCATTTGAATACATTAAGAGTTGAATTTTTTGTCAGTTATTCTTAGCTAGAAAACACTCCGAACTGAAGGTAGAATTGATCATAATCTGTAATAGACCTATAGAAATTTTTTGATTTGATCTGATTTGAGCAAGAACCAAAATTGTGAAATACCATCTATTTTCATTTAAATAAATCATTATACTCGTATATGTGATTGAGAAATTATTGTTATTAATCTGACTTTGTTTTATGGCTAAAAAAGTATATATAATAATAATAATATTCTCAGGACAATTTACACGCGCCATAGCGCCATCTAGACCCAAGTTAAGCTAGCTAAAGCTTGTGTTATGGGTACTAGAAAAATAAAAATATCTATGTATATGTATCAGTTGTCTAGCAACTGATACATATACATAGATATTTTTATTTTGTAAATACATACATAATATACATAGAAAACACCCAGACCGATACAAACAATCATACTCATAAATACAAATGTTTGTGCCGTGCAAGGAATCGAACCCGTGACCATAGGTCGTAAAGCGGTGTGCTAGACTGCTAGACCACCGAGGTCATCAAAGTAGTCGAGTATATGTATAATGCTTTTAACGTTTGGTTTTAATTTTACCTTATCCTGTCCAGCATTAGAATACTTTACTGTTTCATTGCATCCACATTTTACACCAACAAAAGGTTGGCGGTTCTGAACTAATCTCTTTACTCGAATAATCCTTAAAAAGTAGAAAAATTAAAAAATATTCTAGAGACCAATACTATGAAAAGAATGTTTGCTGCATTTCGAATGCTTTTTATATTATCTTATACTGTCTCTTAAAAATAAATAATGTTATTATTATATTATTTTACATAACTATACATTTTTTTCTTTTAAAATATAATAAACGCTGACGGTCTACCTGATGGTAAGTAGTAGCCGTCACCGTCATAATGTGACTTCCATGAAACCGCTCATGCTATTCCTGTTTTGGATATATTATATAATCAATATAAAACTTTGAAACGTAAATACAATTAAAGTAAAAAAATCGCTGGTTTAATACCATACGCAAAAACTTCAAACGTCAAGCAGACAAGTATAGTTCTATATGTAAACCATGACACGGAAAAATAAACTCAAAATTGAAATTCTAATAAAAGCATTTTTATAAAAATATCAATGTATAAATTGACGCAGTACATTTTTCATATAAAATACCAATAGATATACACTGCAGTCCAAACTATTAGAACACAATTTCGAAAACTGTCTCTCATTCGTTATTCCCAGAGTTTACGGCTTAGCCGCTCTGCAGTTTTTCCCTTTATTTATAGCGTATGTATTTTTTGTTTTACTGTACAAGCAAAGCAATGAATTCCGTTTATAGTCTCACTTGTTTAGCGGTCTATTATTAAAACTTCTATAAATTCTGTTTTAGTCATTTCTGGCAGATTTATCGTGGGTAGCCTTGTTTGGTTATTTATGAATTTCGAAATCGTCGATTAGATTTTCCATTTTTTTTGTCGAATCCTATTCATAATTTCCCGTTTTGTGTAACGGACGACAATGAATATTATCAGCAATGGATATAACAAAGGAAGTGTCATTTGTCTGTCCCGATGAAGTATTATTTGAAAAATAAATACAATATGTATTTATTTCTAAATCACAGAAAAGCTTTTTACATTTCTTACATTTTCTTGCATTATATTAGTAACCGTCTGCAAATCAAGATCAGATAAATACAACATCTCAAATACCTACTGTAGTAGTATTTAATGATTTCTTAGTTATGAATTACATAAAATATTTTTTATATGTAATTTCTATCTGAGGACTCAAGTACATGTAATGCTGAAAAATAAATGAAATAGCACTTCAGTTTGTACAGAATGGTACTGGATGGATAGACAAGGCAGACAAAATCTATAAACTTATTATTTTCAATAACTCCAAATGTAATATATCATTATCAATATATACGAATGTGCTGATTTAGTATTGTATGCAACTGACTGATTAATATCAGGTGATAATTGGCCCCATATTGTAAATTGCATAAAAACTTGCAACAACAAGAACGAATATAAAACTGTAACTATTACTAGAACGACAGTAAATTAAAGCCTATTAAAAATATATTAAATGTTAACAGAAAAAAAATTGAACCTCCCACCTAATATGACTGTGGATTTAAAACAAGATAAAACCGCATAGTAACTAGATAAAATGAATTAAGATTAAGTAGGTAGATAATAAATACAAACGAAACAATGAGAAATTCCTCGTATTTCTACAAACTAACCTAATTTGAGAGGTAACAGAAAAAACAACTTCATCAAAGAGACATTTTCATTTATTAATAACATTGATGTCTTACGTTCAAACATTTTAAAATGCGCAAAGGAGTTAAAAGCAATTTTACTTTCCTTTCATAGAACTCTCCATTTAACAACAGCCTTAAGGATATACCCTTTTGCTTTGATATTTATTCTTATTTTTTCCCTTATTTTGTCTTAAGCCAAAACATAATTGTGGAAAGGAAAATGTTTCAACAATTTTATTTTTGTCAACAGGTAAAATATCCGCCCAGAGTGAAGATGTCTTTAAAATCAGCAGTTAATGGAAGATTTCCTGAGGGGAAAGACGTTATTATTGGTAATAATCTGCTTCTTAAGTTTTTTTATTCTCTCAAAGTGCTTTTTATCGAATTTTTTATTTATGTATAGACTTTGTACTATCTATTACTTCCATTAGCTTAGGTATTATAATGAATATTGCCAAATTTCACTATGGGTTCACCATATATGCACTATTATATGTAGGTTGATTTTCATGAATATGCTCTTTATATTGATGATATCCATTTTAAAGACACTGAATTGTCTAATTTTTTTGTTGTTTACAATACTTTGTTGTGTATAATAACATTTAATTTAATGTAACTAAATTCAAATGATTTTGGAATTAGTCTATAATAACAACTATTGCCAACCCTTTTGATCAAAAAGAAATCTGTTAAAGTGTTATTTATCTATGAAGAAATAAATACAGTGGAATTTAGAGCCTTTTCCGTTCCCAATTTGGTTGAATATAAATCTGCTCTCAACATAATAGACCCTATTTACTAATTTCCTTATAAGGCAAAATGTACACATATAGACATAAATACATTGTAATTAGGTACGCCTGAATCGAATACATTGATCGAATAAATCTTATTACAAAATGAATCAATGTGTTACATATTATTAAGTAAAAAAACAACAGGCGTAGTTGGAGTTTCTTCCTTTCTTAATTTGGTTGAAAATAAATCTGTTCTCAACATTATTGACCTTATTTCCTATACCCTTATAAGGCTAACTGTACTAAAGGCATTGTAATTACGTACGCCTGAATGTGTTATTGATCGAATAAATCTCTCTACAGCATGTAAAGGCGACGCAAACCCTACTAATTTGACGTACAAATGGTATATGAATGACAAACTCGTTGCGGCGAACGGCACAGAATTGGTGAGTGATGCTGGAATTAATTATACCTTCAATTTAGACTACAATTGAATAGTAGGTACTTAGTTTGTTCTATCAACGTGGACGATCTCTTGTTGGATGTTAATCTATTAATTATGTATATTAGTTCCTGAGTGTTGTCGCCTTGTTGGTTAAGTGTACTGAATTTGATAAAAAAATCACATATTGAAATATGGCCGATACAAAAAATATTATCAATTTTACTTTTTGACTAACTCTCCTGCGATGACAATACCGTTAACAATAATTAATCTGAAAAATGTCACGGGTAAATTTGGACATGTCAAGTGTTGAGTTTAGCACCACATCGCCCTGACTACTATTCTGTAACACTCATGAAGAAATTATTATAAAGTTATTTTTTATTTAATTTCTTATTTCTAAGATTATATAAGTGCTGATATAGTAACATAAATATATACATGTAGATTAAATTAAAATAAATTATTTAATTCCATAGAAAATTCACAATATAACAAGAAACTATCACGACCACGTTGTAAAATGTGAAGTACATAATGAAGTTGGGAAAACCGAAGAGTCACATGTTTTGGAGGTCACTTGTAAGTATTCTGTTAATAAATACTCTAATATTCATAAGTTAAATGTTAATTTATGCTAAAGGACTGTTAATGTTCATACCTGTCTATTGCTTTTATTTTAGTAGAGATTTTATCGAGACCAAATATGTACAGAATCGTCCTCATGAATGCCTTTATCTTATCCAATTCTCCCTGATTTTACACTAGAAGATAGCTTTTATATGGTGATCAGTCTGCTTTATAAGCTGTCTTCTAGTGTAAAAGGCAAATGACATGGCAAGGTGATATGGGAGTGAAATTACAGGATATGGACGGCATAAAAACTTAATAGTTGATTGAACAAAGGAAGATCCTCCATCTGACGTAGATGGAGTAGGAAATAGGATTGTCAATTGTAATGTGGATTTTTAACCCCATTGTTAGCAATGTACCACATCAGGTTGCCTCTACGTGGTTCCCCTGGACCATTATAATAAATTCCTGGCGAATTTATCACGATTGGCTGACCTGGCCTCATATTTATCTATTTGTCCTTCACTGGTGCCCCGTCAGCGTAAACTGTTAACGCAGTCGGGTGCAATTTTCATTAAAGATGACCAACCAGATGGTCATCCCTCGTGTAGACTTCACTGCAGCCATTTAAGAGGATTTAGGTGCTTTTCCTCTGTATTCTTTAATTCACTGCCATACCTCACTTTTCTGCTGAAATATACCTTGCAAAGTAATCTATTCCGCGATAAAAATAAGTGAGATAAATGTACTCACGCGAACGATGTTATACAGTCCACCTCGATAAAGAAGGAAAGGTACGATTAAGAGAAAATGTTTCTTTTAGATGCACCAAAGTTTAAAAGTCATCCAAAAGATGTAGAAGCGGAAGTGGGCACTCCTATAACGCTCAGCTGCGACGTTGATGGTTATCCGGCGCCAGAGATTAATTGGCTACATCATGAAGAGGACCAGAACATCGTAAGAGAAAATAAAATACTATTAATGTATTTTGTAGTACACTTTACAATTCATATCAAACTTGCTAATCTCATTTATTTATGTATTCATTTATGAGGGTCCAATATTTAGACGCTTTTACAAACGTCTTGGTATTAAAAAATTAGTGTAAAACTATACTATAACTAAATCAGTATTAAATTTTCAAAAGTTTAAATAATACAATATTAAAAACTACCTAATAATATCGTGGTATAGAATCAAGGGTGAAAAAAATAGGTTTAAAAGTGTACTTGATTGGAGTTTTATTATCGGTTTCTCTGAGCGCCACCTATAATATCTTAAATGAAATTATATAGCGAGGTGACATATTCTACTCTAGCACCATCACGAAATATACATTATTCCAATACGAATTAAAAAAACATCACAAGCACTATTCGTATAAAAATAAATACGAAAAATGTATTGAACAATAGAAATAACTACGCTCCTAATAATATGTAAATCTGAAAACAAAATGTATTCGATATAACAATGTTGTATCCAAATACCTAGTCATCATCACAAAGGAATCGGTAGTTTCATTGATGTTAAATATTTGATATTCCACCGCTTTTGAATCGAATCGATATCAACGCCCACTATTATAGTTCTTGACATAAAACATACAAAACCTATAGTTATATTACTGTTTTTGTTTGCCTATTGTACAATATTTGGTAATAATTTTCTTTGTAGAATCAATCTGGTTTTTAATACCCGTGTAGTTTGAAGCGCATTATGAATTCTACAACGGAAATGTTATACTACTTCAATTTTTATTACGTGTGTGATATGATTCATAGTCGCTCCATTGTTTTACTTTGCTTATCACGGACTGTTATCTAAAACAGAAAGTCACTTTTTAGGTGCGAGCTTTTTATAGAAACATTAATATACTTTATTTCTGTATGGCTTGACGTCAGTTATGATTTATAACGGCTGTACTGTTGTGTCTTGTTTTCTGTTTATGACTTGAATTAAATGCATTAGTTTAAGCTACTGTTTTGTCAAATAAAAATACTTAGTCGTCCACTAATATTATTGTAGTTTAAATAATGGTTATATATATTAATTAAATTAAATTAATAGTAAAGTTAGAACCAATTTTTATGTTTCAAAATAGATTAAATTAAGAAGAGTTATCATAAAAGTATACTTTAGTCTAAAAAAATATTCATAATAAAAAAAATCACATACTCACTGCGCAAATTTTTCTCACTGGGCGACCATTTGTATACATTATAGCTTAATTAGGGTATATGCAATAATCACTAGTATTTTCTATAAATTTAATGTTATAATACAAAATAGTTCAACGATTACTTGAACAGACCAGATCCTACAAACTCGTCTATGTGACTTTGAAATGTAAACTTACAACATTTGTTTAAAAGAGCAACAGGCAAGTTTCTTGCTCATTCTTCTTACGCTGAAGCAGTTTGCAAATGGAGGCTACGTTACAATAATTGTCAACATTCAGGTCTCCATTCTATTCGACATTGTCTCTTAGTATATTACACGCTCTTGTCATTTCCTCACTGTTTTAATTCCTCTACTATTAGTGACTGTTTTCTTAGATGTGAACAATGAAAAGTATATAATTTCTTACGGTATTATGATTGTGACATTGTATGCCGTATTCGCTTCCTCTCTATTATCTTACATCTCAGTAACAATGACACATACAATTAATTCAACCACACATATTGTCGTGTCGAATTGGAACAAAGGCAGTAGTCTTCGATTAACTGTTTAACGCTTTGTCAGAACCATTCATCTGTATCATTCCTTAAACAGAGACTGTAACTGTGTAAATGAAGGGAAAATTAAATCAGTTTATTTGTATGGTGCTCAGAGCAACCCATTTCAGTTCGCCCGTTTTCGTATTCCGTTGTTCTTATGACGGCACTCCGGCTTTTGTCTCGTTTCCTCATTACATTACAATGTTTGAATGCTCCGAAATAGCAATCGTTTTAATGAAATTGAAAATTTCTTTTCTTCTACATATATATGTGATGAATGTGCTTCCGTAAATTGTAATATGAATAATTGAGTAGACTGCCTGGTAAATTATGTATCTCTTTATCATTAACAAATAGTTATATTTTTTATCATAAGTAGTAGTGTAAGAATATTTTAAGTAAGTGGTATTATAGTCAAGTATGTTGACTCATGTTATATTTTTTTGTGGCGTATATACTAATATTATATATGATGAAGTCTGTCTGTCAGTTCGTTACCATTTCACAACTAAGCGGCATAACGAATCCTAATGCAATTTGCGTGAACATAGATGGTACGAGGATGGACGTCTAAAAAGCAGATGATGTCGCGAGAAATGGCTAGTCTATAATATACTGCTGTTATCCGATTTGATATGCATTACGAAATCAGCATGTTATGTTTATTTGAATTGATCTTATTAATTTTATGAACGTGGAAGTTTGTACGTATGGATGGATCGATGTTCGTTACTCTTTCACACAAAAACTAATGAATGGACTTTAAGGGGGTCTTCCTATGTGACGGCCTGTTTTTTAGGGATATTTTAGGATTTTTTTTCTACGACCAGTAAATATTTAGAGCTTCAAGTTTTTTATCATTTATTAACACATATTTGGACAGTATAAATATAAAATTTCAGCTAAAAATATTCAGTCAAACTAGAGTTACAGCGCTCTGAACACCCCCGCCTCGAAAAAAAGAGCTCCCACTTCCTCCACGATTCCGGCTGATCGGCTTATCTGAAAAAAAAAAAAACGGCGTTTTAATTTGTAGGCTTAAAAGCACGGAATGACCTATAATCAAATGAATATAAAAAAAATTGGATTTTTGATAGACATTTGAAATAAAAGTTGCAAATTAGGCGTTTTTTTTTTTTGTTTTTTGCTATAAAAAAATCGAAGTTTTGAAAATTTTCGATTGATAATAGTTCATTCCATGCGTTTACATATATTGAGTGTGCCCTGTAAATTTCAAGTAATTCGGTCCAGCCGTTTCTGAGATACAATGGAGGAAAGTTTGAAAAACACAGTTTTGAGAAAAACGCGTTTAAAGTTTCAAGTCCGTTAAAAACTATTAAAATATCAACTTACTCTCAATCGGCGATGCCTGGTCCATAGAGTATTCCTTCCTCTTCCTCGTGAAACTCTTTTAAAGCAGATTGTTCAGCTCTTGAGTCAATCCTGGCTTGTTTAACGACATCACTTACGCGCCGCTCAGAGCGTAAGATTCGCTTTTCATCCCGTTTCTCAACATACGCTTGGGCTTCACGACCAACAGGGCATCCCATAATCGACATAACTTTAAAAATACCTTGAAAACCTTCATTAAAGATAATAACTGCTAAGTAGCTAGCAATTTCAACAACTTTGGGACCAGAATGAAGATGTTTAGGAGCGAAAGTCCAAATCAAAGAATTCAAAGATTCGTTATTGTTTTGTGTCTCTGCTCCTAAACAACGAATTAATAATTCGTCTTTCGATAAATCTTCGAAAACCGGTTTGATAGCTTCTTGGACTTGCGGAATTAGAGGTGGTTTATCGTGATGAAATTGGTCCAGTTCATTATTAGCTTCAGCCTTACGCCATTTACACCAACTGTCTTCGCCTTCTGGACAAAATTGATGCTGAGGGTTTTCATCAGAAGAACATTTGTGATAGTACGTTGCCCAAACTTCCTTTCTCATATCTTCAAGCGAATCTGGATGGCGTCGAATTGCTAATCCGTAGAATTTTGTAATTTCTTGGATAACTTTATCAGTAAGTTTACCTGCTCCTTTTCTGTTTAAGTCTGTAGAAACGTGTCTAAACTTGTATAAACAAATATATTAATAAAAGGGAGGCCAGGTATAAAGCCGACGGTACACAATAGGCCCGGTCTCTAACTGCCAACTCACCGCTCCGAACCGCTCTTTCTTTTACCTGCTGTATCTTTAAAACGACTTCGAATTTTCTAAAATCGCTTTACTACCGTATTCTAGACATGTTAAGGGAGCAATTTATGAAAAAAAAAAAATCGATTTTTTCAACCCATCACATAGGAAGACCCCCTTAATGGAACTGTACAAAAATATAGTTTATACATCAGAATAACATATAGGCTATAAATTTCACGCGGGTAGCATAACTAGTATACTATTAGTTCTATTATATTATATTCAATGTTTGTTTAACAGTTTTAAACCAACTCATAACATCTCATGCCCAACGATGAAATGTTAACCCGAGATCACTTGGGTGCTTTTATGTCACTCCCAACACTGGCACTAGGGTACTGTGGCCATCCTACATATTTAAACTGTAGTATTAAAGATGTAGTTGATAAATGTTGCACGATCGGTCGGTTGAGACGATGTATACGTATGATAATAGACTGACCAAATGTACACAAAAATATTGATCTTATATACTAAAGAACAATAGGAAAATGTAAAGTGAAGTGACATAGTTTAGACACGGCAGTGCTTAGTAGACAATATTGAGTTTGTCTTACTAACCATAATTAATTTCAATGATTATATTGATATATCTAGGTATCTATGTTCCATAATATATGTAGCTATGTATAGTATTGAAAGTATTTTATTAATTCGTCGTTTTTAAGAGCGTTATGGCCTAAGATCACAGAAGTTATAGTAATATAGTTCAAATTTGAATGACCAAACAAATACATTTGTATGTCAATTTACATTTCTAACTGAATCTTGTAAACATATATTAATATATTATTTTTTTGCAGCGTGTTGGCAAAACTGTGAATCTATCTTTAACTGTTGATACGCATACGGCCGGACGGTACATCTGTCAAGCGTCTATCGAAGGATATCCTGAAATACAGGCTGATGCTTCAGTATATATTAAAGGTAAATGATATATTATCGTAGTTATATTATTGTTAATTCTAAATGTAATAGTAGATCCACAAATAGATATTATTTTAAGCTTTATGTTCAATATTTTTCGGAAACTCATAATATATAAAATAATACGTGTATAATTTATACCAAATATATATTCTGTTATTGTTATAATAGGCTACTGTAAAATAATAATCATGCAAATATTATGAGTTAAATATATGAAAATTATACCCTCTATTTCTTTGCCCTCATAAATACTGAGGGTATTTATGAGATTCTACAATTAATTAAACACGTTTGCTGAATTTATACAAGTAAATTGTACAGTTATTATTGACAAAATATTTTTTTTAATATGCATTATTTTTAGTAGCTTCAATATACTTCTATAATACATAATATATGTATTTGATTTTAAATTTATATATTTTTTATATATAGCCCCGGCTTCGAATGAATGTCCTGTCCTAATCCTATACTATCCAAGGGTACTTCTTTTTTTAAACAATGAATACACTCAACAATTACAATAATTCAACAATTACAAATAAAAAGGAATCCTTTTTATATGTAATGGATAAATTCTTAATAATTTCAAACTAATTTAAGTATATAATTTATTTACTTTGTATATACTTGTATAATTTATTTGTTAAAAACTCTAGCTAGACTATTAATTATTAATGTATTAATTATAGTATATACACAATTGCAAGTTAAATCCCCTGGGTCGTGTTGTATCTTCATTTTCATTAAATTTCATCGGGTTTCTACATGAAAATTAATGATGCCAGTTCATCAGGCGGCTCCGAATCAAATATGAGTTGCCACAAAAAGTCCTTTTGTGTCGCTCACCGGTTGAATAGGTCGATAAAGTCACGACCTTGTGGGAATAAACCGAAATTCTAACAGAGGTTATTGCCATGTAGAATAATACATGAAGTTGACAAGGTATTATGTATAGCTTGACCTTGTGTTGTTAAGCAAATGAATCTAAAATGGTCAATTTATTAATGTAACCGAAAAATGGGTACTTTCTTTTCATTAAAATGGCAGGCAATTCATATTCACCGGCCTCGGTGGTGTGCCACCTTAAATCCGAATCCACGGGATCGATTCCTCGCACGATGCAAACATAAGTTTGATTGTTTGTATAGGTCTGGGTATTTTCTAAATATATATGTATAAATAAAATATTTAAGTAGTGTAAGTTGTCTAGTATCGATAAGTTTATTAATCCTAGTTGAGAATACTTATATAAAACTTAAATAGGGTACTGTCTACAATCTAATATAACTTATTTATATTTGTAACTAGGTCCACCGAAAATCGTGTCCAACCAAACTCAATTTGGATCACAGGGGGATATCGTGAATATAGAATGCGCAGCATTTTCTATACCCAGAATTGACAATATCATTTGGACATTTGAGGGCAGAGAAATTGATACCATACATGATCAGGTAAGATTTTTAATACCTATAGTGTTAGTACTACTTGTCGTAACTTGTCTAATTCAGCCGGCAAACCTCTTGCTTTGTAAGAGTTTGTCTGTTTCGGTTGTAAGGTGAGATTCGACATTGAAATTACAGGAACAGAGGCTTTATATCTATGTTTTCTGTCTCTAGTCTCTCTGTGTTACATGATAACGTGATATCTATAGTGCTGTTCATGTATTTAGGTGATTGTTGCCGCTTACCATCATGTCGGCCGTCAGCTTGTTTGCCATTCTAATTATATATATAATAAAAATCTATCTGTCTGTCTAATACAGTAAAGAATTACGTAATATGAGCTTGTACAGCTTACAAAAGAAATAATAAGATAAGTGATCTGCTTTACTATAGTACTTTCATTCATGTCAGCGTTATTTCATTGTCTGCCACTGAATAATGGGTCTTATTCATTCGTGTAATTGTATAATTTTACGGAAGCTTCTATTATTCACATTTGATTTATTAGAAACCTCGTAAATGTTCTATTCAATTGCAGTTTGCAGTTTAAATGCATATAACAAATGTACTACATAAATAAATCTAGTATTGTTTGCTTCTCTGGTATGTTTATATTCAAATTTGGTATTTTTTATTCTATTGGAATGGCAACCAAGCTGTCTGATTGAAAGTGGTATGCATTACTTACAGATATAAACAGATAGATTGGTGTTACTGAATTTTGTTAGGTATCTACTTTTAGTAAGATCGCTTTTCTTTTTAAACGTCTCTTAGATAGATGCTTACTCAGATATGTTCATAGATATGTTCAATCAGCTAATGTATGAATGTATGTAAAAGTTCTTTTATTTGTTTTATCGAGGAAAGTTTGAGTTATATTACATAAATATTATAGAAATACTGTGTTAAATGAATTAATCAATAAATCTCTAGGTACTATAGTATGTGGTTTTTCAATAAGAGTATATTAAGGATCGGCAATACGCATGTGACTTTTGGTGTTTCAGGAATCAATGGGCTACGGTAACCATTTTCTGTAAATACGAATTTGAATTGCATCTGATCAATAACAAATGTAACATATAATATAACACTTATTTTATTTTTGTATAGGATTACGCCTTTTTGGAAGATTTGCAACCGGGAGGAGTTGTTAATTCCACACTGATCATACGAGAAAGCCAATCGAGACACTTCGGTGTATACAAATGTAACGTTTCGAATGATTATGGCAGTGACACTTTGGAGATCATATTGAAACCTAACAGTATGTATTCTTGTTATTATGCAGATATATTATTTAATAATATATTATAAACACATGTTTTGGGTTATTATAATAATGTTTTAACTCTTGATTATTTTTTATTTGGATCTAAACATTAATGGTGAAACTTTAGAGTAGATTTCTCATGTAGTTTTTGTGTTAAAAAATTCATTCGATATGTAAATTTCATGTAACTATAAGTAATTGCTATATTTGATATATTATTGAATTAAAATTTACTTTATTTTATTTAGAAATTAATTATAAATACTAATTTTTAATTTTACTTATCAGAAAAATGAGCTTGTGTAAGTCTCGAAAGAAAATATATTTAAATTAAAGAAACCTATATTAGCTTTTATACTTAAACTAGTTTAGGATTAATTTCAATGCTAAAAATAACTCACAACAATCTTTAAGCCTGTCTAAAGTACTTCTAAAAATATCTAAAACCCTCTAATCTAGCTCTAATAACTATATTGCCTGTTTACTTAACACAATTTGTTATTTATAGAAACCTTCCCCTTACTGCCGGTTTTATTTGGGGCAACATCTGGAACGATCATGGTGGCGGCGGTGATAATGCTGATAATCCTATGCCAGAGGAAGCAGAGGAAAAACAAACAGACTCAAGTGACAGAGAAACCAGATGTCACAGTTACTGCCGAAGAATTATTTAAAGACAACGATAGGAATTCTAATATTAGTGATTTAAAACTTGAATTACGACAAGCGAATGGTACCTGTGAAGTTGTAAGTACACTAATTTATTTTATGATAATAATAGGTAATCTTACTAATGTTATAAACGCAATAGTTTGTGAGTATGTATGGATGGATGTTTATTACTCTTTGACGCAAAAAATAATGACGTATTTGATAAAGCATTAATATAAACAGTAATATAGCTATTATAGCTAAGTATACCTGAATAATATATAGGCTGTAATTTAAAGAGATAATGTTAATTGTGACAAGTATAATGATAAATATCAAGTAAGTAATGCAGACAAAGTTGCACGAGTAAGCTAGTACTTGCTATAAAAACACTACAGAATTATAAGTATCACTGTTTCACCTATTTCAATTGAAAATTAGATTACTTAGTATGATATATTTCGGATGAAGGGTGAGATATAAATAGTGGTAAGGTGAGGTGAGATAGCAAAATTACTGGGTACAGAGGCACGACCTTTTAGTGCTTTGGAATAGCAACTTGTAAGTGATATGGAGTCACATAATGTTGTGATGTCTATTGTGCTATTTTTGTCCATAGGCATTAATTATAATATTAATAATCCTTGACCTCTTAATTATAACCTCTTAATAATAATATTGATAACCCTGGACATTTCACACAGTGGAATTTAGTCCCAAGCTAAGCGAAGCTTATGTTATGTATTCTAGACAAGTAGTATATATACTTGTAATACTTTTTCATGACAGTACATAAATAATGTACATAAAAAGAACATAGTTTTACTTCAATCTTTGTAATTAGACCATCAATGGAATAGAATGTTTTATCTTATTAATAACTAGCTACTCGCCCTGGCTTCGCACGGATATACATGTATTATATATACAAACCTTCCTCTTGAATCACTCTATCTACTAAAAAGACCCGCTTCAAAATCCGTTGCGTAGTTTTAAAGATTTAAGCATACATAGGGACAGACAGCAACAGCGACTTTGTTTTATACTATATAATGATACAGCTTACTATTGAATGTTTTATATTATCTATATTTAACGTATGTGTTAATAATTCAGTGTATGCTGAAATAAGAGTAGAAAATAGAGCTTTTAGAATTTACGTTAAAGGTCTATTTTGTGTTCACATGCAAGACTATTCTTGATCACGTCGGTTGCAACACTACAGAAATAACACGCTAAAACTTTACCGTACCAAGATCGAGGAACATTTTCCTTAATAAAGTGAAGTTAACAAGACTTAGAAGCAAATTTCGAAATTTATAGAATTTTGAACAATTTTATGTAACGTATGCTGTTTTAGTCATATTTAAAATTAGATAAGAGCTGAATTCGAAAACGTGGTGCACGAAATAAAACTGTATATTTTTTGTGTAGTATAACAATTTTAATAAAAGATTATATAATACATATTTGACGATTGGTAAACATTTGTATTGCAGGCAAAAAATTTTTTAATTGTATTTCATTTTCATAACAAAGTTATAAAGTATGTAAATTGTTTTCGCGACTAAAATACTATTTATATGCAAAGACACACAGACAGACAAAATACTTTCGTTACATAATAATTGTACTTACAGTATGATGTGATAAAAAAAATCAAGATATTTTGCTAACTTCCCATATCATTTTTAATCTTGCTAATATTAAAAACGCGAAAATTTGTCAGTGTGAATGAATGGATACATGGATGTTTGTTACTTTTTCACGCAAAAACTACTCAGAATACGTCAAAATAACAGATAGGCTACAAATTTCACGCGTGTGAAACCGCGGGCACAGCTAGTAAAGAAAATAGTAATAGCATATACTAAGAAGTTTATTACTATAAAGGAAATGAGAGTACATTGACTTCATTATCTCGCTAGGATTACTCCAACACGGGATCAGACAGCACATTATGTTCTAACGCCAAATTAGGCAGTGGGGTGCCTTTAGCCGGGGCCGTGCCACTGTCCTCTATAAATCAAAGTAGCACATACCAACCGTACAGATATAGCAACGATTATACTGACCCCGCCTACGCGGACTGCTACAAGGTAAGAATCTTCTATCATTTCATGTTTTACATTAAATTGTATTTTGAATATCTATTAATTTAAAAAAATATTGTTATAGTTGTTTTGATTAATTTTTCAAATTTATTATAGTCAACTATATATACTTAAACTTCATTCTTTAATAGATAGGAATTATTAAATTTATCTACAACTTGCTTTACAAAACTCAATTCATAAATAGAATCCAAGTCAAGATCATATAGCAGATACATACACAAGAATTGAACTTACCTTTAACTAGCTCTAGGAAACATAACACTTTTAGTCACTGTATCTCTTTCAATAAAAATTTATTAATGAAGAGAAGAAAATTTATGGTATAAAAAGTGGTATATAGTATGTTCTATGTTTGAGTTCAATAATGATTAAAATTTAAAAGGATAAATACGAGTATAAATAATAGTCAAAACAGATTTATTACATGTTCAACATTTTTATCAATAAGATACTGTACACTTTATAAACACAATTATTAAGCAGTTTTGTATGCCCACTGATATTCTTCTAATTCTGTAATATTATTTAATAGGTAAATGGTTTCGGCAACGGATATCAAACTTATGTCCACTACGGGCATGACTATACGCCTGGATCACTAAGAGTTACGTCACCAACTGTGGGTAGTGATAAATTGACGCCCAATAGGTAAGTGATATTGATGTGCTCCTACACGGGCAATTTAAATTGCCCAATACTGGCCAATATCCCTAAACGTTGTCGCGGTAACATTAGGCAAACTATTCCAGCCGTTGAGAAGCTTGCTTTATAAGCTGTTTCAGTTTTATGGTCAGATTCGAAATTTAAAATTACACCTATTGATAGCCACATTACTCCAACACTATCAGTGGCAGACTAAGAAGTCATTTTTGTGGGTACCTCAGTCACACCGATTTTAGCTACCAAGCAGCTTGTTTTGCAAGCTGTGTTTCGCGTGGATAGTGTAGATTAGGTATTAAAATTACAGGATAAAAGGCATGACAACTTAGTCCTCTGTAACGACAAGACTATAGATATCACTGGTATCTTATGATAACGTGATATTTATACTTTTTCACGTATGTAGGCGATGATTACCGGTTATTATTAGGTGGCTGTCAGGTGATTGATCATTTCAATTAGTTGCATAATTACAGCATTAAAAGATGCCACCTCAATACTTACATTATCTATATTTACTTCTGTAATTTCTTAAACTTCTTCATCTGTTATATAAATATTTAATTAATTGTGCAAATACTATAAATATATAGTAAACAGTAGTTAATTGTAATTTTGAAATACTTGCGTTAGCTACTTTATTGCCCAAAAATGTGTCTACGCAAGCGTATATAATTATTAAATGCTTTACAAAGTAATTAGTAGAAGTTATAAAATGTAAAATTTATATTGCGAACCTTAGGTAAAATAACTGTTATTTGTGTTATCATAGAATTTATTATTTCAGGTCAGTCAATGGAAGTTTACCAAGGGCTATAGATACACCGTTAACGGTACAATACAACCCTGGTAACGGTTCTCAGAATAATTCTCTGCAACGCTCGACTAAGCGGCAAGACAGTAGTAACGCACTGAATAATTTGGGAGTACCCTCTGGGGAAGGTAATGTTTCCATATATTGATCCAATAGCCGTATGTGTACTGTGTTACGTGGAGCGAATATACAACTATTTATCAATTTAGCATCAATACTGTATATGATGAAATTTTAAATGCTGCATAAAAGAGTGGTATTGTACACGATTGTTGTATTATTCATTTGTGTCAATGGGGTTATGAAAATTCTATTTCCAATAAAGTATTATAAGCAATTTTATAAGACCAAACATAACACTATTGCCTTAAAAGTATATGACATCAAAAACTTAACAGATCCTCTATATACTCGATAATTTTTGATGCATGATTGTATATTGAAGTGTGTCCATATTGTAAATTGTGGACAAACTTCATTATCTAATTACATTTGTTTTTTATGCTATTTAGGACAACAATTTTATTGATTGTGTATATACTTGTTATTGTTTATTAAAAAGCCATTAATGACAATAAATTCAAGTTATTGCTGAGACTGAGTCTCTTCATCTTATCGCCAAATAAGATCTGAGTAGCGTGTTCTCACAGATTGAATTAGAATTTTAAAATACCTCTGTCCAAATCTATATTGAATCCTAAAATGCCACTCTTTATCACGTTCGTCAGTTGGTTTGATATCAAATTTTATTTTCTTTTTAGTGTCCTCCTTAATGAGCGTTGTTGTATTACGTTTGTTTACCTAGTCATGTTACTATAATTGGAGCTTCAGCAAACTATAATATTCTTACTCCATCCCTTATCGAAGCATACCATACAAACTTTATTTATTTTTTAATACAGTGAATAGAATACCAAATGGAGGTATAATACAAGGCGTAGATGTAAGATATGCCGCCACCTATGGCAATCCTCATTTGAGAACTGGTGGTGGACTTGGTTTTGCTACTACAGTTAATACCGCAAAACCAGCATCAACTCCCGCACCACCGCCATATTCCTCCGTTAGAAGTTCTGTGGTACTGCCATCAGGTAAATAAATCTTACTACTTTTGTATTTAACTATAATAAGGCTTTATATAGTTTCTAACTTTCTATTTTAACTACTAAGTGCCTTTGTTTCTTGGTATTTTTGTATTTGAAGTTTCCTTTTTACCACACTATTATAAATAGTAAATAGGTCCAGACCTTTGTAGTCAACAACAGACCGTGAAGTTTGAAGCATTTATGTTTTTGTAAGTTATGATAATTCGCAATTGTCTAGACTGTACACAAGATTACGACAAACATGCGTTGTATTAAAAATAATATTTGTTGTATTTTTATTTCATTACATATTATAATTGATATCTAGACAATTATTTCCATTGTTTTTAAACCTTGAAGGCGTTGTAAACACTTACAAGCTTTTAGAATTAATATTAGACTTTCATGTAATTTTCTTTATTGTTTATTTAGCCACTACGGGTTTCTAATTATGTATTGCGACAATCTGCTTATTATAGTAACAAGCGATTGTAGCAATTATGTTAGTCGCACTGGTAATTAACCTTAAGTACTAATTCTATAACTTTGACAATTTAATTATCTGTAGCGACAAGTCTATTTAGTGCGATAATTCTGCTTAGTTGTTACAACAATTCTATCTCTCTATAATCTCTCTATCTACAATGATTCTGCTTGTCTATTAAAGCAATTATCATCAACAGGTACATCATCGCATTCAATAACATCTCCAACAAGTCTCGCGTCACCGCAGTGTACGACGAGTCCTATCACTACTTCTACTATGTCAACAGATAGTACACAACCGGCGACGGTAAGTACTAAATTATTGCAAAATCTGATGACTGTTATCATTTTAGTCATTTGTCTATGGTATAACTTATATGGGGCTATTTAAGTATTACGTAAGCACAAAGAAATAGTGCTTTGCTTATTTTGGATGACATGGGGGTAGGGGAGTCTAGATCATGATTACGTCATCGGTAGTTATTTGCTTTTTTATACGAATGACAACTCTCACATTGTCTTTGCAAAAAAAAATACATTAATTGAAAAATATTTCCGTCAGCATGGGGGGAGGGGTAAGAGCTTTGCTTACTTTTGGTGATAAGGGGGATGGGGGGGGGGGTAAATAATTGTAATAAATCTACTTCCGTAATACTTGAAAAATATATCGCAAATTGTCTCATTTTAAGTCATCACTTTCAGAAGTAAAATGGCTGATGCTAATTTCTCATATTAATGATGTAAAGAAATTAGAATACGGCAAAGTGATTCATAATATGTTAAACTTTTAAGTAACGTAGTTTTTTTTTAGTTCTGTACTAAAAAAAAAAACTAAAACGTACCTACGTAAGGTTTTCGATCTTTATTCATTCAAAGAACTGAAACCTAAAAGAAAATACGCAAATATTCTTAACACGTGCGGGGTCAATCGGTTTGGGGAGTGACCACGACGGAGGAACCTTTACGCTTCCCGGACAATTTCTAAATAAGGACAAGTCCTGCTAGTAACCCAGCTAAATGGATACCATAGTCTAAAAGCATTTCATATTTCTAGGTTGGCGTAGCTACATCCTCCGCTACTCCGCAATCTCCCAGTGCCCATTATATATTAGCTCCATCAAATCGGACGATAGGTAATGCTACAGTTACTAAGAAAGGTAAGCTATATTGAGTAACTAGTTATAGTAGTCTAAATCATTGTATTGCGTAAAAACAACGATCAGTAATTTTAAACTTTCGTAATATTAAATGATAATTAATAAGACAATACTTATTATATATTGTTATAACAAGACAATATTTATTTTCAGGTAATGGTCACCAGCCACCATTAGCAACGCATGTATAACCAATGTTTGAAAGTGACGTTTTTTAAAACCTTTTGACAATTTTTATCTACGTACTGCAATCAATGACACTACTTACGTATTTTATCTCGTGTAATATAGTGCGTTTTTGCAAACTGGCCTAAGGCTGTTGTGGTAAAACTTTATCTGTATTGACAATCGTGTTGTGACATTTATATACCTGTGTTTCTTATATATTTATGTGCTTTTATTCAGAAATTATTGCAACAATAAAGATGTCAAATTAAACAAGAATGTAAAATATACGGTATGTTTCTATGATGTTATTACACTATCATAGTATAAATATATTAGAATTAATTTAATTTAAATTTCTTTAATGTTTGTTTACATTTGTAAACAGCGTAGAAATATCGGGAGCTCATAAATAATATTATAATCAGGTAAATATCCTGTTTATATAATGAATACAATTTATTTATTTTCAAGAATAACGTACTTTTATACATATCATGTTTGAGTGTATTATCATTTTCGTCTGTCATATTCGGGATATGTAAATATTTTCAGGCAATAAAAAATGTTTACGAATAATCAATAGAAGGTATCTGAAACATTATATAAATTTTGTATAGCTTATATTACTAAGATCACATATCCTTTCTATATCATATGTTTAATAAAAATATACTCTAATATATCTATAATATTATAATAGTGTAATAACACTTTAAATTTTAGCTGACATACTACAGTAAAATTATAGGAACTTTTTACCGATTTTGTACCTTAACCTTCTTGTAATTGATACATTTTTTGTAAATACAAATATATTTTAAAATGACTATTTTATGTCTAATGTTTTATCTGAAACAAAAAAAAATTTTAATTCTTATTCATTTTATTCTGTTACTTTCAATATTTACGATACATATATATAGGTAATATTGATGTTCTGAAAGTTGAATTCTGCATATAGAAACATATGAACAAATAAGTAATATTATTATTATTAGATAAATAAAATTCCTGATTGACTTGTTTCATCTTCTATTCGAAACAAAACTTCCTCTAAGTTATTTTTTCATTACCAAAATACACGATTAATTATTATCAACCACATATTTTTGATTATCAATTTATGAATTCCCATAACTTTGTACAATAATTATAATTTAATATGTATATTTATAATTTAAGTTATTGTGTCTTAAATAATTTTATATTAAACGAACATGTCAATTTTATATGACCCTGTTGAGACTGGTCCTGTTGTTAAATGTAATTAATAAATAAATATAAATTAGACCGTCTTAACAATTTATAAATGTATTAATTATCTAAAAATTAATCATTTAAATTTTGTCGCTTTGCCATTATATTTCCATCGAAAGTTTTAGCGATAAAAGCAAATTATAAGTCCGTTGTTGATAAATATTTCATTTTTAAAAGTATTTTAGCAACAAATATATCTGATGCTTATTTCCTTTTAGGTATGACAAAGAATAAAGTCACTGATCTCCATAATGAAAATTATTACTATTATTTTAAAAATAAAATATAAATAAAAACATTTAAACTGTGTATGCATTATATGTAATATTTATCAGTATTTTTTTTATTATTAAGACTTTTTTAACAACAAACTCAAAACTATTTCCACAAATTTTTTAAACAGTTTTGCTATTAGTTTTTATACAATGTATGTGTTTTATAGAAATTAAAACATTCCTCTACTGTTTTATTGACTTGTCAATCAATTCATTAAATTATCTAAATATTTCCATATCAATTCATATTCCAAACAAAAGTCTACCTTATCTTTAGATTTTTTGTCAAGAATGGTGGACATTAAAAAATATATACTACAAATATTAAACATATTTTTTTTTCCTCAGTGTCACTGTATATTATTTCTCCATGCACAAATATATAAACTAAATTCTGCTACTGTTATTTTAACTAAATACCTATCAAGTAACCTGAGCTTGAGCAAAGCTATATGTATTTAATTTTATTCCGACAATAATTTCAGTTTCTTCTTCTATTTTGTTATGTTAAAAATTCAATTAAGTAAAACATAAATTAAAAACTATGACTATTACATGTATGTAAAAATATTTTATAACTATTTTTAATCTTCTTTTTAAATACTATATCGAAAATGTGTCTTCTTTAATGTGTTATTGTGTGTATAATAATACACAGTGAAAATAATTTAATACATCTGTAGAAAAAACACTAATATTTTTTTAATTTAAAATTTTATTATTATCAGATTTTATAGAGACATAAACCCCACGAAAATATTAATATTAGATAATTATTAATTAAGCTTTAATTCATTAATTTAACGACGACGTTGTGCCATTTTCATATCTCATACATATCCGAATTTTATAATACTATACTAATTATTATAAATTAACTTCAATTTGGCAACATATTTCAGATCTTCCGTTCGTTTTTACTGTAAGTCAATTGTATATTTATTTTCAAATATATTTTAATATACTCTAAGTCAATATATATATCAACAATGTTTCAATTATTAAGATTATATAAATAGATCAATATATTATTTACAGCTTCACATGATGCTCAATAAATAAAATGTTTTGTTACAAATTTCGATCTAAGACTGATTAGACTAAACTACATAACAAATACAATTATATTATTTTCTTTTCAATTAAATCATTAAATTCTCAAATTAATTGTGAGCCTTTATGTTATAGATGAATATAGAATTAATATTATAATCAATATTTAAGCATCATTTTATATCATTTTTGTAATGATATATCTTCGTCTGTAATATATATAAACATATATTAACACTTCAAACAGTTTAAGAATTTATATGATATTTAGACGGTGAAGAAAATATTAAAACAAAAATACGTTCAAAATATCATATACCATGTTCAGAATAGATTTTTTTTTTATTTCATTGAAGTTACATAAACTTTTGTTTAATGCTGATAAAAAGCGATGAAAATAATACGAGAAAAATCGTATAAATCACAAAAAGACAATAGACGTAGGTTTCTTAAAACGCGAAAAGTAAAGTTTTAATAGAAACTTCTTAACGTCTAATATAATGCTTAAATAATCTTCAGAAATAAGGCTAATATCATATGAACAATAAAAAATCTAAAAAGCCTTCATTCTTAGAGCTTATCTTCAACATTTGTCTACATATACATTTACCCTTCTTACATATTTTAATAAACAAGTAATATTAATTTATCATAATATAGTAATTCTGTTTACTGTATATTTTTCTATCTTCATGAATTAATTTATTATAACTCAATAGTAAAGATACTATAATAAACCATGACTCATAAAGATATAGTATATCCAAAATAACTATAAAAAATATTAATATTAACAATTGATCAATCTACCTACTTGATCGATTGATCAATCTAATACTTATATTCCAGGCACAACTAATTATATCTAATTCTGTATTCATCTATAAAATATTATAGAAATTATACAAGTTATATATAATTCATATGAATTTGTCCTTCATTCTTATGGTCTAGATGTAAAGTTTATAGAATATCACGATAGTCGCTTAGGGTGTCATCCGTCTTAAATGTAAAATAACGGCTTACAGTTTTGTGGTTCCTTCGAAAATATAGAAATTATTAATAGTCTATCAGATGATTTTGTTATAGAATACACAATATATATATTAAGTGTGTATAATATTCATAATAATACATTATGTTTTTATTAAGTTCAGATCAAACCTATCCGGATAAGTTCTCCTATTTCGACTACAAAAAGGTAAATTGCTTATAAGAGCGTAAATATATTTGTTACTATTGTAATACTTTGTTATCTTCACCTTAAAATTAGCATTTATAATATTATACGAAATTGAAGATCTATTATTATTTAACAAAATTAAAAAAAGTTTATAATAAATAGAACATCACTTTATCCTAATTATATGAAATTACTGCTTATTTACATCTCATTAGCAATTTACTTTAATTTACCTTAACAGAAAGTTAGTTAGTTTAACTTAACAGAAAAATATATAATTTGGTACGTTCCTATTTGGTCGAATGTTATTAGATTTTTTATATAATAATGATATATATAATGATTAGTAACAAATGAAGTATAATTACAGTTAAAAATATATTATTTTAGTCTTTCTTTTTATTATTAGTATAATTAGCCTGTGAATTATAAGTATTTACAAATTTGCGTCAAATGTATAGAATGATTTGTGGGCGGTCAGTAAGTAATTACGATCATTACGCTAGTAATTATATAATTGTTTTTTCTGTGATACTTAGATTAAAGTGTTTTAATGTAAATACGCTACAATTACTACGAGTGTTTAAATAAGAGATTGTATTAATACAAAGTAAAGCTTTCGACTTTGAACCTTAGATGATAGTTGACGATGATTTTCGGAGTGAGAAATAGATAGTGTTATGGAATGACGAATGTTTAAAACTTGTAAATAAGTAGGTACATTGTAAATATACTTTTCTAAATAAAACCAAACTTTGGCCTATGTACTTTGATTTTTATTGCTTAGAAACCCATATATACTAAACAAAATTAAAAAATATTTATTAACAAAATTAATTAAGAATTTTTAAAATCAAATTAGAGTAATTTGAATTTAAAAATTCTTAATTGATTTTGTAAATATCTACAAGCTCATTGGAAAATAATAAGAGCTAAGTTTTTTTCAGTACAAAACTTTTGTGTATAATAATGGAATGATGCACCCACCTGCCCCAACGGTTTACGCTGGTGGGGCACCAGTGGAGGGTGATAAGATGAGGATGAGGTCAGGTCAGTTAGCCAATCGTGATAAACTCACCAAGAATTTATCAAGATAGTTTCCAGTGAGAACCGCGTGGAGGATAAGATCATCAGTGCACATTACTAACAATCCCCTTTCCCCCTTCACGATTATACTTTTTTTTTTTTGTGAATGATAATGTAATGGTGCACCCGCCTGCGCTAACGGTTTACGCTGGCAGGGCACCAGTGGAGGATGATAAGATGAGCATGAGATCAGGTCAGTTAGCCCATCGTGAGAAATTCACCAGGAATTTATCACGATGGTTTCCAGGTGGAACCGCGTGGAGGTCGACCTGACATGATACATTGCTAGCAATGGGGTTATCAATCCACATTACTAACAATCCCCTTCCCCCCCTCACGATTATAATTGTTTTGTATCGATCTGGGTGTTTTCTATATATATTTGCATCAGTTGTTTAATACACATAACACAAGCTCTGCCTAGCTTGGGACAAAATGCCACTGTGTAAATTGCCCCAAAATATTATTATTGTTACTACTAATTTCCACCCCCTACTACGCGAAATACTTCTGCCCAAAATCCGCGGAATTTTGCCAGCGTCACATTACGCCATACCTAAACACAAAATCTTCGTGAACTTGTTCGGAACAGCAAGGAACAGGCAAGTTTGCACCTAACTTAAATTATTTGAACTACGCGATAGGAATTTTTACGAGCCCTTGCGGATATAAGGCAATTCTGATTCATCTGCTATACGGGCATGCGCGTAAAATGTTTATCACTCCTATTAATGTGTGGCCACTACGTTCGCGGATACAGTATA